TTTTTTTCGAATTAACAGTTTTATTTTGATCATAACTATTAATTTTTATGCTAATGACTTAAAGTCAAGTTCATTTTAAAGATTTTTTTAAAGTACTTAAAAAAATGTCCCGTGCATTTTTCTTGAAAAATAGAATTTCTTTTAGTTATTTTACGTTAAATGCTTCCAATTTAGTTGCTGGTGGATATGAAATTATCTTCAACCAGTCGTATATCAGCACCTATTGCACCTACATAAATGAAAAAAAAACTCAATCTCTTTCTTTTCCTATAAGCTTCATTTTCTTCGTGATGTTTTTTTTCATAGAATGTCTATTTTCCGAGTTATTCGAGAAAAACTACTGAAAAACGTCTTTTTTTTTAATAAAAAATGTACATTTTCAATCACCAATAACTGAGAAAATATTGACTTATCGAAAAATGTTCATAAGATACTTTTTGCTTAAAATTGATTGATTCATCGATTCCTCGGGTTATTTTTAATATTTTATTTTTCACCCCCTGGGCAAATACGCTTATCGGCGCTATACAACTTTTGTTTCTTGAGTTATTTTCTACTTACAGTCCAAGTTTCACGTCAATCGGTTCTATTCGAAAGAATTCGGAGGGGAAACCCTTGGTTCCCTGGACTATAAGCTCTTGGTACATGCGCATTCTGTGTCGCTGATGATTTTTGTCGGCAAACAAGGCCTCGTAGCAGAATTTCGGGAAAATTTCGAAACATGCGTGAAATTTTGAAATGAAAGGCATTTTATTTTGGTGGTTAGAAAATTAGATTTATTTGAATTAGCTTAAATACCTTTAAAATAAAATAAGAAGTGTTATATTACACTGCATATTTTTTGTAGTCTGTACTGGGAGTTCTATGCGTTGTTATTATTCTTTACCATCTATGTGGTGACCGCTATAGACGCGTCAGTCGTCTTCCTGAAGAAAGAAAACAAACTCTACTTGACCAAATTCACATTCGATATGTTGCACATAATAGATATGATTAAAATATTCTTTACTGGCTACTACGATGAACATAGAAGCAAGGTGATACTGAGATCTTCCACGGTTGCCAAGTAAGATATGCTTATACTTAAGTTTAGTATTTTATTTCTTAAAAATATATTCATTTTGATATTTTTAGTGAAGGAGTTTGTTAATTTAAATGTTCTAAAACGATCTATCGATTTATTTTTGTAGGTATCGAGTGCTTTGTTGCTTTTCGAGGTATATCGAAATATCGTTAAAAATCTTTTCTTTTCTCTTGTTCTGCGGCTAGCCAAAAAGCACATTTTAAAAAAAATAAAAATGGTGCGTCCTATAGAGTTTTTTTTAATAAAAAAATCATTTCCGCTCCAAAAGGTCATAGAAAAACATTTTGTTTTAAATTCGTGAAAAAATGTAGGCGCATTCTTTCTTTAAAAGTGATTTTCATTAATTAAAAATTGAAATAGTTATTTGAAAAAAAAACGCCCAAAAAAGTGAAATATTTCATTTTCTGATCCTTAAAATTAATAAAATCGCCAAAATTATTTAACAGCATTTTACGAAGAAAATAAACCAAAAATCGTCACTATAGGGCCATCCATTAAGAAGGTCTAGCCAATTTTCGAGAGAGCATTTTTTAAAAAAAATCGATATATCTAAGAATTATTTTTATTTTTAAATTGTTCAAAAATGTTATTTTCTGTAACTGTAAACGAGTTACAGAAGAAGAGGAAAGAGAAGAATTTTAACGATTTTTTCGATATATCTCGAAAAGTAACAAAGCAATCAATACGTATAAAGAGCCAATCGATAGATCTTTTTAAAACCTACAACTTTCTCATCTCGATCGGCGCTATAGTTTTTTTAGTTATTTAAAAAAAACCGTTTTATGCAAATGTGTGAAATTTTTTGGCCATGTTCGCCATTTTGGATCGAGTTTAAAGCAGAATAATTAAGAAGAAACGCAATTTAAAATTTAATTTTCTATACCGTCACATTTTTTTTGCAAAAACATTAGGCTGTCCCATATAGTACAGTCATTGAAGCTGAAAATCAGCTGTAACCTCCGAATTCTTTGAAACTGCCTGGATTTGCATGACAATTTAGAATAATTTTCCCTTTCCACCCCTGTATTAACAAAATAGATAAAAAATTACTTTTTAAAAGCTTGGAATGCTTTAACGGTGCAATTATTTAAAATAAAAATTCCCTCATTGCTTATGAAAGAATTTGTATCTCATAACACATTTCAACCCTTATAAATCACCCCTGTGCTAAAAAAATGATAAAAAATTAAGTTTTAAATCTTGGAATGCTATAATTGTGCAATAATTTAAAATAAAAATTCCCTTATATTGTTTATGAAAGAATATTTTACTTTTGCCATTTTCAGCTCTTATAAACTACCTTTTTACCAATATTAATGTAAAATATTTTTATTATAATCGATTTTTAAATATAATCAATCATAAAAAAATTGCTACGCTGCATATAAATAATCACACAATTTTTTTTACTTATTTTATTTGTATAATATATAATATATAAAAATGAGAAAGCCTATTTTGCTCCGAAAAAATGTCATTGGTTTTTTTACCATAACTCGGTTAATTTTGAAGCTATAGTATCCTACAAAAAAGCATTTTAAAGATAATTTCAAGAGCTGTAAGATCATTGCATATAAAACCTTTTAAGTCCTTTGTTTTTTAAAGGGAAAGGATCGAAGGGTTCGAGACAGGTCGTTTTTTCACTAAAATAGATAGTTCATGCGGCTATATCTCCTTTATCTTTTATGTTATAGGAATAATAAAAGCAAAATATTTGTTGAAAAAATAGCTACATTTTTGTTGTCTATCATTTTTTACGTATCTTTCATAGTTTCAGAGTTATTATATAAACAAGGCAATTTTTTTTGAATAATAAAAAATACGTTTTCAACTTATACCGTACATTATTAAAAAAATACGCATTCTAAACCAGTCTAACTTCAGGATCGTATGAAAAACACTAAAACAAAACTAATTGTAAAGGGTCTACGATTAATTTTAATTCTGATGGAAATGGTACAGCAGTCACTGCTCATTTTTCCTTAAAAAATATGAGCAACCCATCTGTTTTTGACGATAACTCCTTCAATTTTGCTCTAATTAACTTATATAAGTGCTGATTTTGAAGGTCTTTTTGAGTACTACAAAAAACAGCGGGAGCGTTATACACGTAAAATTAATCCTTTTTCCGTTATTTGACGTTGAATACATCGATTCGAGTATTCCCCCCAAAACAAGTCCCCTTCCACTAACCATATTTCGCTTTGTATAGGACGTACAACACTTTTTAAAAAACGATTTTCTTTGTTTATTTATAAGCTACATGTTTGTTCATTATCATTGATTTCTCGAAAAAATTCTTCGAATATGTTTTGCTCAAAAATTTGATTCCAGCATTATTTTTGAAAAAAAAAATTCGACCCTCGAGAAGGGGTGTCAACCCCCAACAGGGTGGAAGCGCCAATCGGCGCTATGTCCCTAATGTTCATTGACCTTTTCTCTAACTATCTGCCAAATTTCAAGTCGATCGGTTCAGTTTCAAAAAATTCGGAGGTAAAAAGCTTCAATGACTGTACTAATAATGCTTGGACTGGTAAGTCAAATTACCTGCAGTATATTAAAATATTTTAAAAATCGCCACATTTGACACTTAATGACGTCACAAAGCATATTTCATTTTTGAAAAATCAAATGAGGTCAAAATGAAAAAAGAAAAAATATGGGTGGAAAATTTTGTAACTTATTTTCATTCTGTGGTGTAGTTAAAACATTGTTTTAAACATTCTCCTTGACTTTTTTTTTATTTTAGGAAATATTTGATCACCTTCTTCTTCCTCGACATATTTTCTTGTTTTCACTCTTACCTATTCATACTAAGATCGTTTGTAAGAATTCCCTATAAAGTAACATTCCCGGTAAGGATCTTTAGCAGGTTGAAAATTTGCAGATTGAGGAGATGTCTGAGGGCAATGGAATTATTTCGACAGGTGCGTAGACTAAGAAAAAAATCTACTAGTAGTAAACTTGCGTCAACAACAGAGAACAGAGAAAACAATTCAGTTGCAGCTAAATCAAAATTTCTGATAGCAACTTATTATAGTGTCACATGAAACAAAGACTAGAAGGTATGATATTCCCGTAAACTAAAATCGGTTCTCTTGACGCATGACGTCACATGGAGAGTTATTTAAGTGGTTTATTAACAAAGTTTATGATTATGCATCAAATAAATAAAAGCTGGTTTTAGTGCCAGCGCAATTACATACCTTTCAGTATTACTTATATATGTTAATCGTGCATTGAATAAATCAAAGTATGTTTAGAGTTATACAGGGTGTTTCATAACTACCGACACAGAAAAAAATGTTTCATAGCAAATCGGCATATTTTAATATCCTCTACACTTGGCTAAACTGTACGAGTATACAGGCTGTTACAAATTCGCTTCTCACTAAGCTACTTCGTACCTCTTACCGTTTCCGAGATCGCTGTAGTGAGAAGCGAGTTTGTAGCAGCCTGTATATGTAATATATTGACGAGAATATATTTTTGCCAACTGTCATAAATCAATTTACGATTTTTTTTTTAGTACATGGGTTTCTCCAGTTACCTTTTCAGAGGAATCAGGGTGGTTTTCATCTTCTTTGTGGTGGCCCTCTGGTCCTTCTCCATTAATTTCTTCATAACAAATTGCATAGAGGTATTCGTCCACGGAAACGTGAAGAATCTTTGGCAAACTTCCATTTTCGACAACTTCTATGAAGCCACTTCGATGTTCCTGTGGGTGAGCTTTGGGAAATACAAGGTGGACGGTGTTTTCGAGTACATCAACACCATCCTCTTCTTGTGCTTCGGGTTGATGTTGCAGATGTTTATGTACGGTGAGTAGATGGACTGGTAACGATGATTTCAGTTCACTGATCAATTCTATGAATCGCAAACTCCTCCTGTGTGTAGCCTGTAGTCTCTTGGGTCTCATGGGTCCCTTTTTAATGCGTGTGTTAGAAAAACTTGGATTTTGAGGTGTTCTTTTCAGATTTCAACTTTGCGACCTGAATTTTTGTACACAAAAATGCGAATGTCTCATTTTAGACCAGGGAACCAAGAGCTTCCCCTCTGAATTCTTTCGGATAGAACCGATTGACGTGAAACTTGGATTGTAAGTAGAAAATAGCTCAAGAAACAAAAGTTATATAGTGCCGATGAGCGATTTTGCCCAGGGGGTGGAGCCACCCCTTATAGGGGGTGAAAAATAAAATATTAAAAATAACCCCAGGAATCGATGAATCAATCAATTTTAAGCAAAAAGTATCTTATCAGTGGCGGCTCGTGACATTGAGAATAGGTGAAGCATATTCATTGATTAACTAAAAAGAGGAAAAAGGCACGAAAAAATTTGAAAATTTTCGAGATCAAACGGCTTTAAATGCATCTGGAAATTTTTAATTACATTTGCAATATTACCGAAAAACTGACGTTAACGAGAAGGTTTTTAGATTTTATAAAAAATAGAAGCACAATTAAACACGGCATACAGAAAAGTTTTTTTTAAATAAACAGTTCCACACAACCACGTATACTACGAATACCATTTGACTTTGTCTTTTGTCTTCATACTAGATCATGCATAGGAAACTTTCTACAATTATTGATACAAAACAAATATTAACAGAGAACCGTTATAATTGTGCACTGAGCAACGTATCGTATAAACTGTTTAAATGCAGGCGATGGGCAATGATAATGCTGCTTCAATTTCTGCGTCACTCGTTCCCCCACACCGTAGTTTACTCCTGTGTTGGCCGCATCGTTGCCATGACAACCGCCGTAAACAACGTTACGAAGTGAAGCGAAATACAAACTGATTTATGTTCGCGTCAGTTACTTATGCTGTACGTTGTATAGTAGGTACATACGAGGTTGGTGTTTGCGCTCAACGAAGGCAATAGATTTTTAGAAGGCAGTCACCGCGCAACTATTATGTTTAGTTCTGCGTATAAATCAAACAAACATAATACACTTTCAATATAGAATTATACCTAAATTTTAAAATTTATATCAAATTAAAAATAATTTTAAATTGCCCAACCAAACGAAAATTTTAGGTGAAGCGGTGCGTCACTTGCTTCACCNAATTTTTTTATGTGCTAACAATATATTATACTAGTGTAAGCGGTTGTACAATGCATATTTTTGAAAATATTACGTTTTGATTGAAAAACAAAAAAAATTTAATTCCCAACAAAATAACATATTTTTGAAAATAACTTTAAAAATAAAAAAGATACGAAAAATATTAGTTATGATCAGAATAAAAATGTTAATTCACTTTTTCGGAAAAAAAAATCTACAAAAACTGATGTTTGCACGATATTTAAAATTAAAGGTAATCCTTCTACAATTTACATTTTTTATGAACTAACGATACATTATACAAATTTAAGCGGTTTAGAATGCATATTTTTGAAAATATTAGGTTTTGATTGAAAAAAACAATTTTATTCCAAAAAAATAACATATTTTTGCAAATAACTAAAAAAGATACGAAAAATATTCAAGAGTGCAATAGTTTAGATTTTTTTTCACAGAATATTTTGGTTGTTTTTTTATTTGTATTTGTATTTATTAACAGAGATGACGCAGCTAGAAATTTGCAGATAAGGGCGAAGGTAATGTTCTTCAAACCCTTTAACCTCAAAAATCTCAAAAATAACGAGTTAAATATTCAATTTTACAGTACTTTTAGCTGTCGAAATTTTCCATAAAATCGTTTTTGGATCGTCTTAATAGCTTTAAAATTAAGGAAGTTATCGTTAAGAAACCAACGGTACCTTACCGTTTCAAATTTCGGAGCATATCAATATTTTGGTTATCCACAACTTTGGAGCATTATATACAGGGTGTTTCTTAATAATGTGCTAATATTTAAGGACGTTACTCTTGGGTCCGTTTTAAGAAAAAAAACTTCATATAACATATGTGCTAAAAGTCTTAACTTTTGAACTACAGGGTGCTAAAGTTTTATGATAACACATTTTTTTATAACTTTGGTATTACCCTAGATATTTTTTCAGATTTGGTACATGCCTTCTATTTATCGAGATGCATTTTCTAATGTACAAACAATTTTATTATTATTTACCAGTGGCGTCTGTACAGGTTTTGTATTGAATATTTTTGAAGAAAAATATGTTACGCCAGGGTAATTTTCTTTTACCATTCCAAAATGTATGTAGATTACTGTAATTTCATAATTTCAACGTTTAAAAGTTACTATCTTAAATAAATTATTGTTCAAAGTTACATAAATCTTTTTTTTCTCGTAAGTGGTCCAATAAAAGATGCAAATGAACGAATTTTATTTTTTTATGCGAAAATCGTACGTCAGACGAAAAAAATTCAAGACACCACATTGCTAAGAAAGGAATGATGATTTCAAAAGTGATTTTTACTTTAAGAAAAAGCAGTGGCGTAACATATTTTTCTTCAAAAATATTCAATACAAAACCTGTACAGACGCCACTGGCAAAAATAATAAAATTACTTGTACATCAGAAAATGCATCTTGATGAATAGAAGGCGTGCACCAAATTTGAAAAAAATATATCTAAAATAGGTAATACCAAAGTTATCATTAAAAAATGTTTTTTCATAAAACTTTAGCACCCTGTAGTTCAAAAGTTAAGACTTTTAGAACATATGTTCATATGAGGCTTTTTTCTTAAAATGGACCCAAGAATAACCTCCTCAAATATTAGCACGTTATTAAGAAACACCCTGTATATATAGAATACCTTCACTTTTTCCCTTTAATCTTTTAATACTTCTACTTATCAACTTTAAATGCATAAAATTGTTTTTAGTTGTATATAAGGGTGATTTAAAAAAAAACAGTGACCTGATAAACACTATATTATGAGGGCATATAATCAATTTTGAATAATTTAAAAGCCATTTTTTTATATTTTGTCAATGGTGGTGGTTTTTAAGGGTTAAAACAGTGCGATAAATTATAAATTGTATTATAAACAGGTAAAAGAATTTAATTTGACTTGTTTGTACTATCAAATCATTTCAAAACGTTAAAAACTATTTTTTTAAATATTTTGTTATTTGGTGTAGTTTTTACCAGGTCATTTTTTAGTAAAACGCTAAAACATCCCCTAAAATAGAATGAAATAAAGTAAAGCTTTATACCGAAAAGCAACAATTTGTTTGTAAAATAGTTGAAATTTGAATAGAACACCCCGAAATAAATAAAAATGGGCCACTCAAAACAATCTAACTCCTGGACAATTGCGACGTCACAACTAGAAGGGAGTTTGGAAACGAGCCGACCTTTTGTACTTAACATCCTTGACCTCCTTTCAAGCTCAACTTCTGCAAGTGTGGATCAAATACCAAAGTTCGGAGAACAAGCAGCACTCCCTGTACCAACAGTTCGAGGAGTACGTCCGATATCAGAACCTGCCCGTCAGCTTAAGAGAAAAATTTTTCTCGTACTTCAACTTTAAATTTCACAAGGACTTCTTCAAGGAGTCCGACATTAACAGTATGATTTCGCCGTTCATGAGACAGGTGAGGGGTTTATTAAAGCGTCGGCGATTATCGGTCACGAGATATCTGATATTTTAGGAAATACTGATGCACATTACCAGAGCCCACATAGAAAGGGTGGACTTTTTCAGGTACTTTCCCGAAAAAGTCTTGACGAAGATCGTTGATCAGCTCAAATCTGAGATTTTCCTACCTGGAGACTTTATAGTAAGTGCCGGGAGGACTGGCACCAGCATGTTTTTCGTATACCACGGAACCGTAGCTGTTTATACGCCGACAGGAAAGGAGGTGAGGATAAAAACGACAGCCTACTTCAATTAATAGAGCGGTCACAATTGGCTGCGCACCAAAGTCGTGCGCATCATCAACATAAAATAAAGTGAACAATGCAATGACTATAAGATTTATGTCACTGTATCATTGTGAAACACGTAAATTTTTATAAGCATTGTTGCCATCGGTTTCACAATCTGGATGGGATCCGTTATAGATCGCATCAGGTATGTTTCAAAACACGACTAAAATCGTAAAGAAATCGTTCAATCTCAGGAAAATCAGCGTGTAAACCGACAGCTCGGCAGCTCGCGTGGCTGACTGACGGCGCCAAAGGCTATCGGGCTAATTGTGACAGCTCTACAAATTAAGCATTTTTCGACTACAGTCGAATTAGATCTTGAAACTTGAAAACTCGAAAAAATTATTATTAGTAGACATTTTATTGCACTTTATGACGGAGAAAAATATAATATCAAAAAAGTAACTCGAAAAAAGTGACGCTAAGTTGGCAAATTGCAAATAAGTCAAATAACCTACAATTTAATATATCTGGAGTCATTTTTCATTCATTTGTTAACTGTAAAATAAATGTCGAACGCGGAAATATCAGTTTTCGAAAATTGCTCATTATTATTGCAAAAGGCGATGGATGTTGATGAAATTTATGAAAAAGACGCGGCAAACGCCGCTCGGAAATTCGCTCTTTTTACAAGCTTATTTTACGGTAATTTAAAAATAGGAATCACCTTCACCCTCTTCGCTCCCAAGATAGCTTTTTCTTTTATAACGTTAATTGTTAATTAATTATTGGACGTAAAAAAAAGTTTTACATTGATAGTTGATGTAATAAACGCGCTAGCAGCAGGAAAAGTTAACATTAATTAACGGTCTGCACGCGGGCAATGTCATATTTTGTGTTGTTCATATATTTATTTTTGCTTTAAATTTTATTTACTGTAACGCAAAAAAAAAAATTACTTAGTCCGGTCAAATTAGTCATAAATATGGTGGTAAAATAACGAAAATTCCAACAGAGCTAAATTTTGATGAAGAAGTTTTAACAAAAAAGTAGCCCAGACAAAAATTATAGATCTTAAAATTATCTACAAAAATCCTTATACTTTTTTTTTCTAAGAATCACCATTCCTGAGATATCGCGATTCTAAAAGTTGAAGGGGTCGCGTTCTACATGATATGCACATATATGCTACGTATATACATAGTCAGGCACTTAATACAAGTAAAAATGCCTATTTGTATTCAAAACTCAAAAGAAACTCAGTCCCTTAGTCAATCCCCTCTACCCGCATGCCCTTGAATAACATCTGGCTACTGTATTGTAAAAACTTTTGTAAAAAATACACGAAACAAGAAACAAGTACAACTATCTTGTCTTCCTCCAACATCGGCTTTTCTGCTAATCAACACTTGTATCGAGTATACTATGAAGTTCAGACATGGCTAGGCAATCAACTGGACCCAGAAGACTGGGGTTGGAAATTAACAGATAATACTTTGGAACCGATTCAAACTTTACTCCCACCTGCTCCGGAAAAACTCCTAAACACTATTTTTTGCAATTGCAAAAAAGGTTGTAGTGCTAAATGTGGCTGTAGAAGAGTAGGGTTAGTGTGTTCTCCAGCGTGTACTAATTGCCAATTGAATACAACAGACGAAGATTCATGTGATTTCGATGAAGATACAGCTCATTCATCTTCATTTGAACAATTTATGAACATCCAGCAAGAAGAAGAGGAAGAAGAAGAAGAAATCGAAGAAGACATGACTGTTGAAGTCGATTTTGAAAAGTACGAATCAGATTAAAATATCAAAAGAAATCAGAACTACAGTTAAAGTTAATAACCAATATCAATAATCATCATGCAGTTAAAAGAGTATTGCCCCTGAAAATTCCGTCATGACAGTTCGTGGAGTAGGCTTACCGAGGAAACCACATTAAAAAAAAAAACAAAACGCGCCAAAGTACACTACCTCACAGGTGGTGTGGAAATGTGTGAATATCATGTAGAACGTGACTCCTTCAACTATTAGAATCGCGATATCTCAGGAATGGTGATTCTTACAAAAAAAAGTATAAGGACCATTTTTGTAGATAATTTTAAGATCTATAATTTTTGTCGGAGCTACTTTTTTGATAAAACTTACAGTTTTTGAAAAAAATTCAAAAAACCTAAATTTTGTCCTTCGACTCCAAATAACTTTTTTTTGGCACACATGGGATCGATGGGGACTTTTGACATTTTATTTCTAATGGTGTACCCAAGGTCTCCACCAAAATTTAGCTCTGTCGGCATTTTCAGGAAAAAGTACCAATATTTTTCATTGTACTATCTGCTCCTGAAGTATCATAGATTAAAACTGAGACACCCTGTATATTAACTTTTTTCTCGAAATAGGTTGAGTTTCAGACACGATACATAAAGCTGTTTTGTTTATTTTGATGCATGCTATTGCCTATTAAAATTATAGCAGTCATTCTTCTAACACACTGTAGAGAGACTTTCAGTTAATAACTTCTTCTCCTTCTTCTGCAAGATAAGTAAGACGTAAAAGTACTGACTGAATTGATTTGAATTAAATAGAAAGTTAGAAGTCGGCGTTTCGGTTATATTTATGTCGAACCCGTTACATTTTCAGATCTGCCACCTAGAAGATGGCGCCCACTTTGGCGAGATAGCCCTCATCCTCAGCGAAACCCGAGTTGCCAGTGTTATTGCAGTCACCCCCAGCGAGTTGTTCGTGTTAAAACGCCCCGATTTCCTGGCGGCAATAGAATATTATCCGGAAATCAAGGACCAACTCGTGTCTTTGGCCACGGAGAGGCTATATAACGCGGTTGCGCAGTAAAATTTGTCGACCAGAATGTTTATTAGTTTCGTTACTGTTGTTATTGTTATATTCACTACGTTCTTATTTCAGATTGAAGAATTAGGATTTGTATTCAACATTTTTATTGGTAAACTCAAAACAAATAAAAATTTTGAGACAGAGGACAGGACTTTGTTATTTTATTGCACTGTTCATTAAAATAAAACGTATTTATTCATCTTCTGGCATTTTCGTTTGTTATTTCCTGTGAGCGTTATATTTTTATAAAATTTTTAAATAGGTTAAAGTAGGTATAGTCCGTTTTAAGATGGTATGGTGTAATCAAGAGTTGAGTCACAATTACCCACAAAAGAATAATCACAATCCTCGCAACCCCCTTGAATGGCCCAATATGATATTATGGAAGATTGGGGATAATTGTGTTCCGTTCATGGGTTAATGAGGATCATGATCATCATATTCGTGATGAGCGTTCTTGAGGGGAGGAGCATTGAGACGAAAACGAGAATTGAGGGTGGGTTGGATGTTTTGAGGAAAGTTACAGCATCTATTTAATAAATAAATCCAGTGAAAGGAGAAATCCAGACTTCCTTTTTCTCTCTTACATTTAAGGTATTTTCAAATCCAAGATATCTATCAATTGTCAATAGCTTTTACAGTGACATTAAAAAATATACATCCGTGTCTCATCGAATCGTCAACATGCCGAGATTTGAGGACCACGAGTGTACTTTGGCGAGGCAAGAGGAGGACGTGGTGAAGCAGTTTATCGACACCGGCGTGTTCATTACCGTCCGACGAACAATCCGTTCTCTGTGCATGGTCAGCAGATCGCACCCGGAGACTCCCAAGTATTTCAAGTCTTATTCCGCGTGCCGGAACGAAGAAATCAGGCACCTGGTTCACAACTACAACATGATACACCCTTTCAGCAAGCTGAAGTACGTACTTATAAAATAATACACTAGTTTTAAACCTACGGATCAAAACTGGGCAGTGTGTGGGTATCATTAGCAGAAATGGCAGGGCATACACACAGAGTTTTGTCTGCGGATTTGAATTGTGCAAAAAAAGTGTCGGGTTCGATGCGAGAGGTCATTTTGCGCTAACACTCGTTCTCAATAAAAATAAATATATAGATTTTCAAAACTGGAGACAAAATTTTCTGTTAGTGCATTGGAAATGAACGTTTTGTCATTGCGTTTGTTAAAACCGTGATTTTTTACCAAAAATTAAAACTTTTGTGAACGACAAAGTTACTTAAGATATAAAAGTGTAGTTACGCAATGTACCTATAGTGCGATCATATTCGATCCAAAGTAATAAATCATTGCCTGTCAAGGGAACCAATGAAGTACGCCTTTAAGGGTTTTACAAATTGAATAATTTCTTTATACATTATGAAGGGACGAGGGGATCAGTTCAGGTATGGCATCCTTGTTGCTACAAAAATTTCTTTATTCTCATAAACTATTTATTTTAAATGTAATTTATTATAAATCCAATTTGTTTCCTAAATTCCACATATGTACTACATTTTACCTCTGTAAGCGCCACTGTTGTTTACTTGTTTTTTGGAAGCGCTCTCTAATTGACGGCAAAGCTCGCCAGGTTAGTATTTGACGTATAACCGACCAGTTCGTACACTCGATGCACCTGGGCGACTACAGCTACTACCAGAACACAGTGCGTATGCAGCGGTATTTCAGATTTTACATTGAATTTCATTTTAAATTTGAAATTATTTATCTTACGCCTCCTAAAAATGATGACACGATTTTCCTTTGATAAAAGGCCGACAATTTTTTGCTCTACTTTGCATCGTATACGATCCTTCTATACTATATATTATATTATGCGTGACAAAGTATTTTCATGCAATACAACTATTTAGTATTGTTAGAAAAAATATTGAAATAGGTAATGAAGAAATTTGAAATTAAATAATGCCATAAGGAACATATAAGTATTTATATCCGGTAAACATTGTCTTTGTTAATATCGCGATAAAAAAATGTTAGATAACACAGGCTGACAAGATTTTAACCCAACAACACGAATATACTTTCTCAAAGGATTTTGGGTGTGCTGAATTCGATTCCGAGGTCCAAATTTCTCAATTGGCTCTGGTTTTCGAGATATTCTAACCTAAAAGTGCCAAAATCGCACATTTTTGTCATATTTGAGGTTATGTTAAATGGAAAAGTAATTTTTTGCTGAAACCACTAATGGGGTCTTAAAGTACTATACTTACTCTTTAAAACGCACTTAGATTGATCCTATCTAAGTGTGTTTTAAAAAGTTAGAATAGTACTTTAAAAAATTGCTTAGCCATGTAGCATAACCGCAAATATGTTATAAAAAAACCGCGATTTTGGTACTTTTAGGTTAAGATATCTCGAAAACTAGAGCCATTTGAGAAATTTGGACCTCGGATTTTCTGGGTTAGAGGGTTGGCCAAATTTCGTTGGCCTGTGTAATCAGAAACAAATTCTGAAAATATTGCTGTCAGAAATCATATAAGCCTGAAAATTAAGTGCAAAGTTAATTTCCGAGATTGCGATCAACATGTCTGCCATTATTACCACACCAACCTAACAGTCGTAAAATGAGAAGTATTTATATATACAAAGTAGTCCAAATGTATTATTAATTCGCAAATTCATATACGATTAGATTTAGGGCCAATACCATATAGACAAGGCGAAATCGGCGGCTTCGTATGAAAAAATTAGTGGATACGATTTTTTTGCATAATCACCTCCGTGAGAACAATACGCAGACTTAAAAACAGAAAAGCCCCCGGACCCGACAATATACATAACACGACACTTAAACGACTACCACACAAGGGCCTCATGGCCCTACTAAACATAACAAACGCGACACTCAGACTAAGACACTTCCCTACCCGCTGGAAAACAGCAAACATAATCCTTATCCCAAAACCCAACAAAGATCACACCATCCCATCCAACTACCGGCCCATTAGCCTGCTCCCGGCTATGAGCAAAGTGGTAGAAAAAATTATCCTAACCCGTCTAAGAACCCACTCCCAAGAACTGCAAGTCATTCCAGACGAGCAGTTCGCCTTCCGACCCAATCACTCCACTGAACTCCAAATCCTTCGCCTTACCGAGCACATCACGGCGGCCTTCAACAGGGGACAGTACACTGGTGCTGTCTTCCTGGACGTCGCAAAGGCCTTCGATACGGTTTGGCATGAAGGCCTACTGATGAAAATGCTCACCAACCAATATCCCATATCCTTTACCAAACTCATAAAATCCTACCTACACCACCGAAAATTCCGCATCCAAATCCAAGATTCCCTTTCCACCACCCGTCCCATGGAGGCCGGTGTCCCCCAGGGCACCGTCCTGTCCCCACACCTATACACCATTTACAACTCCGACATCCCACATCCCCCCAACACCAACATATACTTATACGCCGACGACCTGACAATCACATCCCAATCCGTAGATCCTAGATATTCCGTCTCCCTCCTCCAAAACTCCTTAGACCAACTTGAAACCTGGTGCAACAGGTGGAAAGTCAAAATTAATCCCAACAAAAGTTCGGCTATCCTTTTTACCAAACGAAAAATCCCACAAAACCTTGACAGACTGACACTATCCCAGGAACCCATCTCCTGGAATCGACAAACACGATACCTGGGCGTGACGATGGACCAGCGTCTCACGTGGAAACCGCACATCGTGGAGACGGTGGCGCGAGCGAAGACCACCAGGGCTAGGCTCTATCCCTTACTCAAAGGTGGAAACACCCTCAGTTTAAGGAATAAGCGAACGCTTATCAAGGTGGTACTTCAACCGCAGCTAACCTACGCCTCCACGGCGTGGGGTCACGCGGCAAAAAGCCACTTAAAGTCATTACAGGCTGTGGAAAACATAGCCCTCCGCACGGCCACCGACGCGCCCTGGTACGTAAGAAACACTGACATATTACGAGACTTACAATACACAAACGCTACACAGACAATAAGACAAAACGCGGAGAAACGATTTGACGTAGCCGCTAGACATGACAATCCCCTCCTCAGGCAAGCCGTTGACTACGTACCCGACGTGACCGACAAACACAAAAGACCTAGACACCAACTTTTTGACCCTGGGTGACCACCCCAATGACCCCCCCCCTGCCCGCTAACCTTTTCTGTTTCAGAGACAGCCAGGATCAAGAAACGAAGACAACGACACACACACACACATACACACCCCCCATACCCTCCTTAACCCTCCCCTCCCGCGCTAGCCTAAGGGCCACCTTAGCAAAGCGCATCCCAGGCTGCATAGCCGCACTACCCTACCCAACCATACCACACATAAACATGACACTACCCCCGGGGTTTACACAGACGAGCCGGCGAAGCAAGAAGAGCGCCAGAAGAAAGGGCCCTAGCCGGCGGGGCCCAGCCAGGACAAAAGGAGGTCCCACAAAGCGCCTACACCGGCCGCATTTGCGGTCGGGGTAGACGACGGATGGGGCCCACCTACGAAGGCTGTCCAGGCGTACACGAGATAAGGCAGGATAAAGAGGGATAATCCCCCTCGATCCCAAATCATTGAGGCCAATTTCTGTCATGGAATAATGGCGCGGCGCGGCGCCTCCGTGAGATGTCCCTGAATGACGATCAAAATGTTACCGGCCGGTTACCTGGTCACAATTTTTTTTAAACTAATTTTTTTTTAAACAAATTGCAAAAATAATTTGTTTTGCTCCGGAAAAAGTTTTTTAGGTATTTTGGGGTATTCTAAACAAAATAGTTCCTATGCACTATGCTCATAAAATCAACGGTCTCCGAGTTATAAACAATTCGAAGTACGAAAAAATGCAAAAACGGTCATTTTCAAGACTCAAAAACAATAACAAAAAATCAAGTTTTTGATGTTACTAAAATTTAAAAGTAATCTTTAAACATTCCTTGACAAAATACGGATGAGTTATTTGGTGTAATTACATTGCAATGCGTATTATTTTACCTATTAACAACATACATTTTGACTTGACATTTCCGGAGCAGAACAAGTTATTTTTGCAATTTGTTTAAAAAAAAATTAGTTTAAAAAAATTGTGACCAGGTTACCGGCCGGTAACATTTTGATCCTCATTCAGGGACATCTCACGGAGGTGATTATGCAAAAAAATCGAATCCACTAATTTTTTCATACGAAGCCGCCGATTTCGCCTTGTCTATGACAATGTCGCTGATCTGTCATTTCAGATATTTCTATACATTAAAAGTCGCAGTATAATTGGCTGTGTTGTAACAGTTCCAAAGACAGAAGGACACAGAATGTTAACTTCAAAACAAAATGAGGCGGATATGTGTTCTGAAGAAAATTATCCAATAAAATGTGGTATTTCACGTATATGGGTGTCCCATAATTACCGAAAACAAGGGATTGGTTCAGCTTTAATGAATTGTGTTAAGAAAAATTTTATGTTCGGTTACATTCTTGATAACAATGATATAGCTTTTAGCCCTCCTACCGAACAAGGGAAAAATTTTGCCAAAAGCTATTTTAAAACGCCAAATTATTTAATATATTACGTGTAATTGTTAGGATATATATTTAAAGAAAGTGCCTTATTGTCAGTATTATGACACTGTTTTTACTCGTAGTACAACTTATGCCATAACTGTATATTTATTCTTTAATAATTTAATATATTTTTTGTATTTTTTTTTGGGGAGGATTTTATATTAACACTAGTGAAGGAGTGGAATCTCCAAGTTATTATTTTGCCATATTCAACATTTATCTATCTATTATATATGATATTGATATATGATCTGTGTGTTACAACTATTTATTTTTGTAGGAAGAGAGTATTTTTATATTGTAAGCAGATTAAATAAAAAGTAATTGATTGTAACTTTGGTTTTATTCAGTTAATTCCTTTTATATGTACT